ACCTCATGCATCCTGTTCTACGACCCTGAAGCCATCCTTCATGTGTTTCTTCAGTTTTTTTCATATCTGTCGCTTTCAACTTGAGTCAAAACGTGACCTAACTCCCTCCAATCTGTGTTTTCATTTCGTGCTACAGACACGTGTCGTTTTGGCATTCTACTCAGTTCCTGTACTTTTTCTGTTTGTATCACTGAGCACACAGCATTGCCACTTTTAGTTACATAGAGGTGCTGCAAGGTAAGCTTCTGTGGGCCTAATCTGTGAATTTGTGTGTCATATATGAAGGATCTTTGTTTAAATCTTAGGGTGTTGTGATACTCATCAAAAGCAAGTGGTCGGGAGTCTGGTGGCAAATACTTCTCTGCCAACCTCTGTAGAGGCTCTAATGGTGGAAGGTCTAGAGTCTAATAGTAGTGGGGCACTCCTTTTCCCGCACTGCTATAATTAATCTGTCCCTCTTCTTCTAGGATGGATCGTATATACATTGGTTTTTACAGCTCTTGCCACTTTCTCTATGCACTAGCAGTAGCCCTTCTGTTAGAGATTTTACACTAGTGTGACCTGATGCAGACTTAACTATCAGGGTCTCTTTTGAAAATTTCAGGTTATTAGCTTTTTGATTTAGCACGGTTTTGCATGCACCTGTGTCGCATAACATAGTTACATAAATTTTTAGTATGGGTCTCTCTCCTAACAGTGTAACTAGTTCATGCACGTTAAACACTTCTGTATCATCCTGTTTTTCCTCACTTCCTTGCTCTCTGTCTAGTCAATCTTCGTTCCTACCTTCTCTCTAAGAAATCCCCTGTCAAGATGTGATCTCTCTGCAGGATACAAACACTGCTCCTGCTTTACTTCTATGATATTTACTGACACGTGCTGACCAACACATCACGACTTTGATTTTATTTATCAATTATGCAACTAAATTGTCTTCAACGTACCAACATAGTCTCAGCAGACTCTGACATCAATTTTACGTATGGTTTCAAAACATCATAATGGAAACCTGG